CAATATCAACAATCCATTTAAATTTGTCCATTTACTATGCCATGGCTTTTTCTTCTTATAACTCAGCTCTAGAGCTCATTTTTCAAAGTCACGGAGGTCCCCTCATGCTTTGCGTCCGCTTTCTAACTCACTATTCCTTCATGTTTACACTGTGGACAGAACAGTTTATTCCAGCCTCCTCAGTACGCGGTTAAGAGATCTGTGGACATCCAACAAAAGGTCCCCAAAAGCTGCTTTCTGTTTTAATGACAGACACCAGTCACCGTGCAGAGGCGTCACTGTGTTATTAGAGCCAAGCGCCTGCCATTACCTAGACTGAAATGAACCAGACCACTTCCTACACATAATCGACCAGGGGGCAGATCTCTATGGTCAACTCAGGATGTAAGCAGAGCAACCAGACATTGGAGGGTCAACGCATAATTATGAGATTTAGTCATGCATCATGATAATGTCACACCAGCATGGTTGAGAACTGTGTGGGTTAAAATGGACGTTTTTGCTTCGGAATTTGCTGAAATAGCTCTTTCAATAGGAGAGGAAATGCTTACTACATAATGCAGTTTAACTGAACTGTTTGTACATATCCTTATAGACCAACCACTCGATAAGAGATAAAAAAGCAAGAACTTAGCCTGGATGGGAGTTTAAAACTGAAACAGCTGTAAACTTTAATTACTTTCGTCTTTATTTAAATTAGTTTGGTTCAAGGTCCCTGACACATTAGTGCGTTCTGTATTCACAAGCCTGGGAGTTCTGCAATGGGCCAGAATGACACAATGACCGCTGGAATGACATAAAGGCAAATGTTCTGCCCATAAACATGATTCTGAACCTGACCTGAGCCCAATTTTTAACCAAGCCTGACCCAAGTTTGAAACTGTTTATTTAAACCTGAAATATCCAGAAATATTTACTTTCACTGCCTACTATGTTAGCCACGCACTGCAAGAGCATGTATAAATCCAGATGCCTGTTCAGTTACACAGTCCAAAGCAGAGTTTTGAACCCAGTACATACTCCAATTAAAGTGGCTAAATGTGCCAAAATAAAAAAAAGCATATCTACAGTACTGTGCAAAAGTCACAGACCACCCTTTATGTATTTAATTTCCAGCTGAAACAGCCATTAAGTACAAGTTATTCATTTTTCAAGAGATATTTCTGATTAACTGCATATCAGATAATCTGCTTGCATTAGGAAAAGTCAAAACAACAACCGAGCAAGACCTGAGAGACCACCAAAACTGTCCCCATCAGATAAACAGCACTTGAAGCTTTCATCTTTGAGAGAGAGGAGAAAATCAAGCTCCACTTTTGCTTCAAATCTGAAAAAAATCCACAGGTGTTTCTGTCCATCCTTCCACTGTGAGAAGACAACTCAATGCTACGAGTCTGAAAAGATGTGTAGCTATCAGGAAGCTTTTACTGAGAAAATATTACAAATCAACCAAAGAAGCTGCTGATATTCTAAGACTGAACTTTGGAGGAGTGGTAAAATATCCCTGCAGATTTCTTTGGAAATGGAAGCTGTAATAAAGGAAAAGAGTGGACACCCTAAATAGTGAATGATAATTTGACATTATATCTAGTTATTGAGGCTTCTGCGTCATTTTCTGCAAAATATTTGTTTTCTGCCATCTTCCTATTGTTGACAAATGAAAAACTTGTACTTCATGGCCATCTTGACTGGAAATAAAATAAATGAAGGGTGGTCTCTGACTTTTGCACAATATTGCATGTATATATATGTACACGTATACACAAACACACTAAGGCCCAACCGATACAGACATTTTGTGGTCAATGCGGATACTGGTTTAAAGAGGCTACAAATTCCAATAACCGATGATATCAGTCAATATAATTTCATATTTATATTTCAATCAACACAAAGTCAGTAGCTTACAGCTTTGAAGCTTGTGTGTCACTAACTGCACAGACAGACAGCTAGCTAACAAAAACATATATGCTACAATCACCAGAAGCAAAATGACATTTAAAAAGAAATAAAAATTAATTAAATAAATAAATACTGGCCGATGTTATTTGCTGAGTATGTTTTAAATGTGGTCTTCAGAATCATCAAACCATGTGTGAGATTGGGGCTGCATAAATAAAAAAGGACTGCAGGACCACATACACAAGGCTGTGTTATTGACTGCAAAGCATCACTAAGTCTAAGTAAAACAAAAAGCTGAAAACGGTACTTGTCACGGAAATTAGCCGAGAAAGATTTACTGGAATCTTGTTGCCTACCCTTCATATTCTCCGTAAAAAACATTAAAATCTTTTAAAAACATATTTAATCCATCCTAAGACACAGGAAGAGTATCAGTGAAGGTCAGTGGGCACAGAGCAGCAATGTTTTCCAGTGTGAACATGACATTTTCAGAAAGAAAAGAGGCCTGCTTTAATTTTCTTTTACACAAACTAAAGCCTGTTTGTGCAAAATGTCCACAAAGGATGTATGTCAAGGTTCGGCCATTTTGGGTTGCTAACTCCATATGTTTCTGTTTTCTCAAAGCTTTGTCAGGACGGATAATGAGCTGGTTAGATGCAGTGGAAAAAGTCTCTCAAAACATGCAACTAGACCTAATGTATGAACACAGCAAATGTTCATTAACAACAATCACTTTCAAGTCACCTACATAGATAAAAAAAAAAAAACATTCTCCTTAGAAGCTATGCGGCAAAAGGAACTAAATCAGAGACAAACAGCTTTAAAGTGCAGTGCACCCTCAAGTGTGCTGCAGAACAAGTACCTAAAGAAGTTAAGTGCACACTCGTTGACCTTCCTCCCTTCATTCAGACACTTCCTAGGGTCTTTCTCTTCCCATCTGCACAGCATGAACTCCTTGTTGGCCTTGTCGCACTGTGAGCCATAGTGATGTGCTGCTGCTTTCAGTACGGCCGATGATACACTGACCTGTTGCAGGACAGAACAACAGGAAAAAACACTGAGACACTGTACAAAAGTTACCATGTTTTAGTCTATATCAGTGTGTATCACTAATTTAACTGAAATATTCATCTGACATATACTTATGGACCAATCTATTGACAAGACATTTTTAAAAATGCAATGTTTAAACACATTTGACTTTGTCTGAGGTAACAAACTGTATATTCTGTTTGTCCCCAATGCATTACAGCATTCCCTATTCATAAGTCTACAGGTTCTTTAATGGGCCAGAATGACTGCTGAAACTGACAAAGGCAAAAGTTCTATAAACATGATTCTAAAAAGTGACCTGAGCCCAAATTTTTACCTAAGACTGACTTAAGTATGAAACTGTTTAAAAAAATAAATAAATAAATAAAAAAATAAAAAAAAAAGCTAGGTTTGCTCCTCAGCATGGCCAATGACATGCTTATCTTTTTAAAGGGAGAGTACTCAGTAAGACATTATAAAAGGGTATAGAACAGTGTCTGCCACTGTTTAAACGGGGCATTTTTTGTGTTATCCTGCAGTCACATGATCATTAGTTAAAGAGTAAGCCCAACGATTCTACTATGCAGAAATTTTGAAAAATGGTGGAATTTCCCTTTAATGATCAAGGTCCTTCTGTGACCGAGTGAGTTGTGTTAGACCAAAACAGTGTTATGCCACCTCACAAGGAAAAAGTGAACAGGGATAAACAAAAGGTAATCTGTACATTTTCGAAGAAACGCAGATCTTGCATTTGATGTTTTACTACATGCTAAAGCACAACTACAGAACTGCATACAGAACAAACACACAGACTTTGCCTTTGCTAACCAGCTAGCTGCTGACAGCAAACAGACGAGGCTTCCTTCTAGTTCGAAGTTTTCCCGTTCCACCTTAAATGGTGCAGCAGTTACATTCTCGCGCTTGAGATGTTACTATAGCAGCTGCGCCATCTAATTCTGATTTAAGGTGGAACAAGACAATTCGAACAAGAAGCTGCGTTCAGCACCGCAGCAAACAGCAAAAGGAGAAAGGAGAACACAGTATTTAGCCACTCAATGCATAAACAAAGCACACGACAAAGAAATATGCATTTATTCCAGCACACACAGAGACAGACAGACAGAGAGACAGACGTCTCCTCCACAGGGAGTAAATGTAGATCTTCACAGTTGAGCTGTAAAAGCTAACTTGCAGCACTGAGCGGTTAGAAGTAGAGCGCCTGTTTTGACCATTACACACATTTCACACACCTCACACACATACCTCCTCAACGTTCAACTCCGACAGTGTCGGAATCTCAACCTCACCGGGCATGGTGCGGTCTACAACTCAGGAAAACCAGTTTGAGAGCTCTGTCTGGAGTTTGCTCAAGGTCCCGAAATGCGACGAGGGAAGGTCAGCACAAGGCGCATGCGCCACTGCTTTCGGTCGCACTTACATGACGCAGCACCGCGCGCCTTCAAAGCGGCAAAGGCAGGATCTTTAAAAAATAAATAAAGAACATTAAAATATAAAAACAACAAATAATATTTGGTTAAAGTGTTCATATAACTACTTTACTTGTTTGTTCGTTTTTGTTCTTTCCACTACTACCGTTGCTTTTTGTAGTAGTAGTATTGTAGTAGTAGTAGTAGTAATAATAATAATAATAATAATAATAATAATACACTACAATGTTTGTATTTATTTTTTTAAGTATGAAGCAAGAATAATGAAGCTAGTGTTACAGAAATGTAGTTATTTTAATCAATATAAAAATTCTGAATAAGAGCAAAAAAGGCTCTTAAGGCTTGTAGCGAACTGTTTTCCCTCTTCTCTGGTTCTTCCTTTGACGTTGTTATACACATAAAAATAACACTAACGTACTTTCTGTGTGAAGGGCATTGACACTTTTCTGTGGCTTTTTTTATGTGCTGTTGGCCTTAAAAACACGGTATCAAACTCAGTATATTTTCTGTGCTTTTTCTATGTCACATTGTCCCTAAATTGAAGAGTGAAATTGTGTTAATAAAACACATTTTTATTTAATCTGAATAAAACGTCGCTGACATCCGGCTGTCTCTGCCTCGTTTCCATGGAAACGCTGTAACGCTGCTGCTAGTCGCAATGGAGTTTACAGGCAGCAGTTACTGCGGCTCTTACAGAAATGGCAGGTAAAATAAATTATATTTTCCCCGTTGAAGGTCTCTAATTCACTAATATCTCTTCTGCCAAAACTGATATAGACTCGGTGAGTTTATTTGTTAAGCTGTGCAATTGTTAGGCCCATAACTTACATGGAACACTAGCATACGGTCTCTTTTACTGTTTCTGGCTAGCTACTATTTTGATTGTTGTAAAAAGCTTTGGGTTTGTTGTTTATGATAGTCATTACTGTTGCTAGTGAAGGCTTCAGGTCATGCTTTGGAGCTTTATGGTCTTCCATGATAAAATATAGACCTGAGTTTTCCTGTCTTTTCTAGGATGGAGGGGAAAGGAGAGTATAAGCTCCCCACACAGACCAGATATGAAGGGGGGATGAAGGATGGCATGTTTCACGGAAAAGGAGTTCTATACTTTCCCAACGGAAGCAAATATGAGGGAATATGGGAAAAAGGAATATGCAGACAGGTGCTTTTGTTTCCCTCCTAGCGCCTGTTTGCTATAACAACTCAGCTGAATCTCAACGGATCTCAACTGAATCATAAACACCACACAATAAAAAGATGGTTCCTTAGTAAAAGGAATGGTTCTATTTAGGAAACATGAGTTCTATATAGAATTATTTCATGCTCAAATGGTTCTTTGCATGGTGAAACGGTTCTAATACCTGCTAAAGCACAACTACAGAACAAACACAGTCTTTGCCTTTGTAAGCCTGCTAGCTGCTAACAGCAAACAGACGAGGCTGAAGTTGGCTTCCTTCTAGTTCAAATTTTCCCGTTCCATATAAGCACAAAATAGGGTTCTGCTACTGTTACGATGTGAAGCTTGTAACAGAAGAACACTTTTCTGTGCAATATAGAAAGAACCATTTTCTAAAAGGTTGTGTATAGAACCATGTACAACACATTCTCCATCAATCTAAAGAACTGTTTTGCCATGCAAAGAAATATTTAATCATTAAGTGTTTTTTTTATAGAGCCCATGGTCCTAAATAGAACCATTGTCTTGAAGAACCATCTTTTTTAAGTGTGTGCTGTTATTATACAGACATTGTATTTAAAGGAGCACTCTGGCCAAAAATTTTAAATGTAACCATCGCTACATCTGTTGTACACTTGCTCTCTCATCTCCTACAGTAACTCTGCAGTAGTTTCTAGAATGAAATGTTGAAACATTCTTTTATTTTCGCTTGCTTGCTAATGCAGAGAGAAGCCAAAAAGCTAAAAAACTGCTAGGAAGCCAAATCACATCTGTATTTATTGGCCTCTACATCAGTGGCTATTCTAGCAATATTTCTTTATTGCAGTGGGCGCGATTTAGTAATGCATACCGGGGACTGTAGTAAGAGAACATTGATAGATGAAAACACAAAAAGCATTTAAATTGTGAGCTCTATAAAACTGATAAGGCTGTGTGATGCAACGCTGCACTACAGAATATTACATAACATCACAAATGGCATATTAAATGCTAGTTTTAGGCCAAACTTGCTGGAGAAGAAAAAAAAACATTCTCAGGTATAATGTATGTTAATCTAACAAGATTTATTTCCAAGTAAATTTGGGTCCTTTCTCTTTGTCAATTCATCATGAACTGTTCACACAATATGAATATGACAGTTAGTTTTTTGAATTTTGTAAAAAATATAAAATAAAAGCAAAAACAAATGGTATGACAGCAACACTATACTCTTAATGAAACATCTGTTTTAAGATTCTTTAAGACACGATTAGAATGATGGAATACATATTGTAAATCTTTCCAAAACTTCCAGGGCAATTACACCTTCTCAGATGGACTGCAGTACCAGGAGACAGACTGGGATTACTGTGATGGCTATGATCGACGCTTCTACACTGAGAGATGCCATGGGCTGAAACCTGCAGGTATAGTGTTAGTGAAGATGAAGAGCTCCCAGTCTGCTCGTCCATGCTTATTAACTCATTCCATCCCAGACATAACACACCCAGTCCAGCTTGTTAAGGTTGTCAGCATCCTGTAGATATTACAGCCAGGGCTGTTAAATTACAGTTGGAACAAATTTCTGTTGTAGATTTCCAGGAGTCGGATTGGAGGATCTCTGGGAACACACCTAGATGCCTTTAAAGGAATAGTTCATTGAATAGAAAATACCCAATTTCACACTTACCCCAGGTATAGTCAGTCAGCCAAGATATGTGTGGAATGCAAATGCTTTAGTATAGAATTGGAGCTGCGAGGATAATATTGCTAACAAACACTAGAACTCAACAGTCACCCATATGACTCAAATATTTTCTGTAAAAATGCATCCCCAAAACTTCTCTCAAATCTCTCAAACAGCACAAAGGTCTTCATTAACGTTGCGCAGAATTGTCAATATGGTTCAGGACACAGTATGACGTCCTGTGAGCTATAAAATGAACAAAACTTTCCATCACAGGCAGCCATTTCACACAACACTAGACCTGGTATTTACAAAGCAGGTCTGATTTTGGACCAGATTTCTTCTGATTTATGACAGTCATCTAGAGCAGCGCTCCTGCTCCTGAGGTGGTTTGTGAATAGAGACCCTGTTGTTTAAAGTGGCTGCCTGCAATTTTGTCCATTTTTGTGGCTCACAGCAAGTCGTACTGTGTCCTAAACAACATCCACAAGTCTGTACGACCTTAAAGAAGACCTTTATGCTGTTTGAGTGAGTTGAGAGAAGTTTTAGGAATGTATTATTACAGAAACAATGTGGGCTATTTGGGTAACTATTGAGTTCTAGTGTTTGTCAGCAATGTTAGACTCTAAACTATATAAGCAAAATGTGGACTTCAAACATGTCTTGGGTGATTAACTACAATTTGGGTAAGTGAAAAATTGTGTACATTTGATTTTTCGATCTGATTACCTTAAAGTTGTGAATCATATATATATATATATATATATATATATATATATATATATATATATATATATATATATATATATTCTCACTTATTTTTCTTTTTGTCAATTCATTTCCAAGGCTGTTTCTTACTATAAGCAGTATAAGCAGTTGCTTAAGGTCCTGCGAGTATGCAATATTTATTTATTTTATTTGATATTTATTTAATTTGCTTATATGCACAGATTTAACCTCAAAAAGGAATTAAATAATATTTTTTTTTCTTTCTTGCAAACAAAATAATATGACCAAGAAGTGGGCTTCACAAATACAACACTTAGAGACCCAGACTGGCCTTCATTTTATGCTTTATCCTTCAGTTAAAGAGCTTTGGCAAACATTTTTACCCCAAATGTATTCAGTTGGCCATGTTTGGTGTCTGATGTGTGATTCTGTAACAGTAACAGTAGCCATCACGAAGCCTGATTTTGTCCATTTAAACCTCTTTGTTGATAACAGTATGTTATACAGAGTGATTTTGCAATATATATGCAATATGCGATAATTAAGACATGCAGTTTGCATGACGAGTAGCTATAAGATTCCATTACTTGCTAGATACATTAGTTACAAAGTTCAGATAACAAAGATATTCGCTTATTGACTACATAAGGGATGTCGTTTTTATTTTTGGTCAAAGTGTCATTTTAAATTCTCGTTATACACAGTCTTACATTCCCAAAAATAAAATATAGCATGATATTTTTTGTCTACTCACATTCAGTTAAGTGAACATGCCTTTTTGTAGGAGAATCTCAGCTGACCAATAAGGACCCCCCTCGGCTCATTCCTGACGGCTGCTATGACTGCGGAGATGGATTCTACAATCCTAACACCAGAGTGGTCAGTGACTACAAGGGGAACTTTCTTAGAAATGCTGGTAAGAGATTTTGTGTTGTCTGATCTATAGTGACTATGTGCCTGTGCACACATAGTGAATAAATTACTAGAAATTTTATATTTCTCTTTTTCTTAATCTCAGTAAAAAGTTTCTTATTTGGCCAACATTTTCCAGCAATTTCCGCAAAGCTGCATCACATTTCCTAATTTATTCTCTCACAACACATATTTTCTGGCCTTAATGTTGGAACATGTTCTGTGCTGCACTTCAGAGAAAACGTTTTGTGTCTCCTCCAAGCAACCACCTGGAAAACGTGACAACAGAAAGAGCATTAAAGTGGCATAAATAGATTAGTGTAAATGCATGTAGAATTAGAGATTGGGCAGGCAGACTGTGATGGTACGATAACTCGTCGGTAGGTCCTTTCTCTTAGCCAGAAATGCTTCCCCACTGCTGTCATTTGAGTTGTGTTTCCAAAAAGAAAATGCAAAACACATTTTTACTCCCATACAATGCCCAGTGCGGGATCTTTGATTTGACGTGAATTCGGTATGTCAGCCTTGCAGATAGGAATTCCGCTCGCTGTGCCAGGAGTTTGGAATCGGCACACCACCAGACAGTGTCATGGATTAGGAAAGGTTGCGGATTAAATATGATACGCGGTCTCTGAGTGTAACGTGTGTGTGTGCTTTTGTACATTTCTAGGATAAAAGTGTTCTGATTTTGTAGGAAAGCCAAAAAAACAGGCTTAACCTGAAGGACCAACAAAAGCTTTTTTTTTTTACCAAACCTGCATGCTTTATTTTTTTTAGATTGAGTTGAAACAATTCCTTTTGGTTACCAAGGTTAAGATTAGGTTTAGGGTTAATCTTAGAAATGTGAATACAGTACTGTGCAAAAGTCAGAGCTCACCTTTACTATTTAATTTCCAAGTTATTCATTTTTCAGGAGATATTTCTGAGGAGATTAGATAATAAATAATCCACTTGCATAAAGAAGGAGAAAGTCAAAGGGAAATAGGTGAAATACAGGAGTTTCCAAAACTAGAGTTCTAATAACCGTGCAAGACCTGGTAGAAACCAACACTATCCCCATCAAATGAACTGCACTTAAAGCTTAAATCTTTGAGAGAGAGGAAAAAATTAGGCTGCTTCAGATCTGAAAAAATCCACAGGTGTTTCCGTTCATCCTTCCACTGTGAGAAGACAACACCGCGCTATGGGTCTGAAAGGATGTGTAGCTGTCAAGAAGCTACACTGAGACAAAAACAAAGAAAATTTGCAAGTCAAAGAAGCTTCTGGTGTTCTCAGAACAATAGACCACCCCAGAGTCCAGACCTCAACATCACTGATTGTGTTTGGGATTACTTGAGTCATCAGAAGCGGAAAATGCAACCAACATATAAGACTGAACTTTCGAAGTGTGGAAAAATATCCCTGCAGATTTCTTTAAAAAACTGAAAGTAAGTCTCCTGAAAAGAATGTGAGCTGTAGTAAAGGTGGGCATGCTAAATACTAAAAAATCCAATGTGATATTTAGTTGTTGAGGGTATTAAAAATATTTTCAGCTTTTTTCCTGACCCTGAAAAATTACTAACTTGTACTTAGTGGTCGTTTTATCTGGGAATTAAGTAAACGAATGGTGGTCTATGGCTTTTGCACAGTACTGTATTATTATTACTTATATACAAATGGTATCTATCTAATACATGTAATACATATTATTGTTACATGTAAGTACTTATATATAATACATATTATACATATTATTACAAATTGGTACTTACACATGTATAAACCCACATTTTGGCATTGTAGAAACAAGCGTAGGTGTTTGTGCTCATGTATGAGTGAGCAAATGTTTATATGTGTCTCAGCTTAGAGGCTTGTGCGTATATGCAAGAAACATATGCTCTTAATAAAACATATCTTTAAAGATTTTACATAACAGAGTATTACATTGATGGAATGGTCTCCTTTGCCTTATATAGACCAACTCAATAAACGAAAATATGATACTCATCATTTTTCCCTTTGATCTGCTCACATGTCCAGGTACGTGTATGTGTTTGGATGGGTCTCTTTCTTTCCATTTGTAATGACTTGGCAGCTAGCTGTGTTTTCCAGTGATGTGAGACGCATAGTTTGGTAAGCTCTGTCTGGAGTAACTACATGCAACATGAGACACATTACCAGTCTCCTATCGTCACACACTGACTCCCAGCATTTAGATCTAATTCATATCTGCGTGGTTACCATAACACAGAGAGACATGCGCATCCTGAGCAGATGTGTGTTAAACATGTATGGGGAATTACGGGCTGAAATCACCCCGCTAGGTTTTGGCTGTATTAGACATTACAGCAGTGAAACACACGGAGATCTGTGGTCTAGAATACCTAGACTACTTCTAGACTAGCTCTCTTCATTCTTAAACATAAAGGTGTCAAACTGGGATCTTTGACACAATGCTATGTAAGAACCACTTTCCCTAAAGAACCGTTTTAATAGGGGACCCTTAGTTCATGCAAATGAACTGTTTTTGCAAATAAGATCTGCAGGCTTTTTAAGCTATAATGTAAAGGTTCTATACCAGTTAAATCATGCAAAGATTATAGAGATGGTACAATATCACTTTTTCTTTCCCAGTATTGGTACTTATTTTGAAACCTTGAGTGTCAGCTAATGCGGATACCAATCCAATATTTTTTCTTTAAAACCCTATTAAGCTTTAAAATGATCTCTACTACTCCTCGGTACAAAATACATAGCTAACAACATGATAATGTGCGTTGTTTCAAAAAAGATTTGTTACAGGATTGGACCAAATTTGTTCTTTTTCGCCCTCTGATATCCAGCATTTTCTGCCATCCCTATTGTAGAGAAATTAAAATGTTTCATACACTCTTAAAAATAAAGGTGCCCAATGGATTCCTTTGGAGCAGTGCCATAGAGGAACCACTTTTGGTTCCCCAGTTTATTTTTGTAAATGAGAGAAAGTAGCCTCTTCCTGCAGTATCTAGTGGCCATTCTACCAATGAAAAGGAAATCGACTTGGATATTTTAAATCAGTATAATCAAAGAAAATTTTTTCCACTGTAACTGTGTTATCAGATTAACTAGGACACTGTTGGCTCTTTCTGGGTGAAAGGTTGTGACTCTGTTTAGCTGCTAGCGAGCAATGATCGTGTGAAAACTATTCACACCTCCTCACAAGGACACTGCAATGCCGAGATAAAACAAACAGCACAACTGCAGATTTCTAGATATCGACAAATGGTGTACAACTGCCACAATATGAATAGCCTTTAAACACAATAAAGACACCACTGTACACTGATGAGCCAAAACACTATGGCTAATATGCTGTTGGTCCTCTGTGTGCTGCCAAAACAGCTCCGACCCACAAGGCATGGACTCTACAAGATGTTAGCAGCAGATTCTTTAAGTCCTGCAAATTTGAGCTAAAGTTGCAATGTGTCCGACTTTTTGTTTCAGCACATCCCACAGATGCTCAATCGGATTGAGATCTTGGGAATTCAGAGCCACAGGCTCTGTCATGTTCCGTCATGTTCCTCAAACCATTCCGGAAAAATGTATGCAGTGTGGCAAAGTGTTTCGGTAAGTGACACGAGTCAAACTGACCCCCACATGAATGCCCAGACCCACATGAATGCCCAGACACTTTTGATATCAAAAGGTGACGTGGAAAAACTGCAGACAACTGATTGGTCAGAGAGAATCATCATTATCACCCTAAACACATACTAACATTAGCTTCCAGCTTAGCGTAGCCTCTTGTGTCACTCTTAAGCAACCATAATCACCTTGTCCTCTGAACTCTAGAAACTGTAGTTTTTCCCAAACTCTCCTGTTTTTTTAGCAGTCTTTTGTGTTGCTGCTATCAAGCTCTTCTGAACAAAATGTATATTTTTTTGGAATGTGGGTGGAGGAATTATTCAGAAAATGCCGCCAAAAATGTAATATCAAGTTAGACTGACATGCTCATCCCTAGCATTTTAGCCGTATTAGATGTTACAGTCCTGCTGGTAGTGAAACACATAACACTTCACATGGATCCCCTGAATTGGTACAAAGCAAATAAGAACTAATATCTGTGACTAGCGCAGCTAGCAAGAACCTACTTTTGCATGCCAATTATGTGCTGTCAGAGAGAGTGTTTTCCAGTGCAGGGAACCAGACTCATTCTCGACTCGACCTAGACCATGTTGACATGTTAACATTCCTTAAAAGAAACGCAGAGTTATAGACTGAATAGATTGAATATGAAGTTAGGCTGAAATGCTCATCCTTAGCATTTTAGCTGTATTAGAGGTACAATTGCTGGAACTGCTGGTAGTGAAACACAAGGAGACAAAAACACATCTTAATGCGTTATCAGCAATGTGCTAATGCTAACAGGGTGTGTTTCTCAGCTGTTCTTATTCAGCAAGCGCTTTATACAGTGTAGCAATGCTGTGCGTTTGCCTACGTCAGTGCATGTGGCTTTGATGTAGGTGGGTATCTACACACAGATTTGATTTGTGTGCTCAGCGCTGTATATCTTATCTGCCCATCTGCCTGTCTGTGGGTTTAGAAGTGCTAGCCAATGGCCTTTCACTTCTCAGACTACTCAGCGCATGATGTCTACCCACTGCTGTCAGATTCAACAGATTCAAGCAGCTACAGAAGCTGAACTGATGGTTGGGTTTGGATGAGCTGGACGATCAGGAAGAGGAGAGAGGAAGCAAAAATGCTGCTATATTTTGGTACCAAATTTGCTCAATTTTCTCTTTACCCCAGATATAATTAATCAGACAAGACATGTTTGATGTCTAAAGTTGGAAACAAAATGTTCTTTTTTATTTTGAGTATTACTTTGTGTGGCTAGAATTTAATGCAATGGTTCAGTCTAAAATCAAATGTATACAATTTTCCTATTACTCCAAATTTAGTCAGTCAGCCAAAACATGTTTGGTGTCTGAAGTTTGCTCCCTTAGTTTTTTACCGAAGCTACAAGGCTCATTCAGCTAACAAGAA